TATATCCGCTGTTAACTAGCAGAAAGATTAGTTCTAATACTCGACATTTTCTAAAATCAGCTGTTACGTACCATGTAAGAAAAGGTAGAACCGATCACTATGAATTTAGATAGATAGATGGATAGGTGGTTTATTGTAAAACATCGCAGCCAAATTTATGAAATAAATCGGCTTAATTGCGAAATACAAGTAAAATTAAAAAAAAAAAAAGACAATTAATGTAAGTATACAAATACATGAAATGACCTTCAATGTATATATAATATACATTGACATTGACATCTTAAGTTAATATTATTATAAAAATCTAAATATTGCTAAAAACTCGAAAAAATTAAAGTATATATTATCAAAATTCTTGTAAATATGTAAATATGACCTACTCTTGTAATTCAGTATTAACTGCAAAAGGACGTTTGAATTTATTTATTTATTCTAAGGAGAACTCCACTTTACCTTAACCCTATAGTTGTTTGATAAATCGAAGTTCCTTCTCAAGATTACCAAAGGATTTTGGCGCATCTTCAACGACAAGAAAGAAATATGCGTTGAAACTAGAGAAAATTACCGACATGATTGCCGCCATCTTGGCAGGCTCATATATCAGCGGCGACTCCCATCAAATARCTATAGGGTTAAGGTAAAGTGGAGTTCTCCTTTAAGTAAAATTCTTGATCAATATACTGGATAAAAAACACAAACCTGTGTCTAACCTTTGTCTAACTTTAGTATTGATACCAAACCGAGAAGGTACATTATAAGGTAAATTATTGCTTTATATGTTGGCTAAGTTGGCATCGATTGTTTAAAAGAGCACCCAAAGTTAAAAGTCCACAATCAAATAACCGATTGGACAATTTTTAAAAATATCATTGTTGCTTCGTTGTTGGCCAACGTTTATGTTTGTTGGGTTATTGAATAGTCGTGTCTTTCAAGCGTAAATCTTTTTGTCTAGTTTTACACAAATGCCCCGGTCAGAGCGTCTCGTGGAATATTTTCGATACATTGTGATTTTTTCGTTTTATTTTTTTCCTTTTGGATAGCATTGTTCTTGACCGGCGAGCGCACGTAGCATAGCGGACCGCGTGTCAGCCAATCAGAGACCACGCAAATACAAGCTATTTCATGACTAGTCAGTTTGTCTTTTACAAGTCTTCTAAATCACTCRAAACTCAAATTAATGCAACAGATTTGTACTTACTGTCATGAGAAGGTTTTGTAGATCTGTCATCAGAACATCTGTGAGAGAAAGACTTGTGGTCTGACAAACGTCTTTGTCTTAACATGTATCCACGCCTTTCTCTAGAACAACTGTCAGTATCATATCGAATGTCATCGTAATAGTCTCTGGTAGGTCGCTCGTATCGGCTGTAACGCAAATCGTGAATTTCCCCAGCTCTAGCATAATCTCTCAACGTATGCCCACGATACCCTCTTCTGTTTCCACAATCATACATTGAATGGTCATAGTCYTTGAAATYATAGCTGTCATATTGAAGAGACATGCCAGAGTGATCATTATATCTGTCGTGGGCAGTGCGATCGCGTGTTTTTCCACTGTCATGGGAATATGTTCTTTCATCCTCCTGGCGATAATATGTTCTATCATAATACTCATATCTCTGCCCTTCCATRGGTTCCCTTGATTGGTGAATCTCATGTCTGATATATGTAGSTAGGGTGTCAAAAAATGCGTTCCCATYGCGTCGATCAATGCTGTCACCATTCCTCCAGTCTCTACGTGGGCTTGGCTCATTTCTCTGCAAACGAATGGATGAATGTGTCATATAGGCCTTTTGCATGAAACGGTCACATGGTACTAAATCCGCCATTCTGGAGGGCAAAATTCCCATTGGGATGTTCAAAACACGTTTCTTTTGTTTTTGAGGTTCTTTACATTCTTTTGCCCTCAGGAATGGTGGATTTAGTACCATGTGAACGTTTCATGCAAAAGGCCTMTTAACTTTCACAAAATGATGCTTTAATCTATCAAGTGTGATTACATACGTTAGGTTTTACTTCATAGGTTGGATGTGAAATAGCATATCTTAAATAGAACAGTTACATGTAGCAATGTCGGGACTGAATTTTCCTACATCCCATCCCAGCCAATGATTCATTCAGAAGCAAAGACATGGTAAATATTGTGACATGAGAGCCTTCAATGTGCATATCGGCGGCGTACATGCACAACCATATACGGAAGTCGTACGACAGACCCTTCTCGGTAGCCGGCTGGTAGTAAGTATAGTTTATTGTATTTTTGAATCCCTGTGCCTATCAGTGCGTTGCCGCGTAGCTGGTCGGTGAAAGTATAGTTTATTGTATTTTGGAATCCCTGTGCCTATCAGTGCGTTGCCGCGTAGCTGGTCGGTGAAAGTATAGTTTATTGTATTTTGGAATCCCTGTATCTGCGTTGCCGGAGGCTACAGGTAGAGGGGTTTGAGTAGCGGTGTATTCGGTAGTTGTACCAAATAAAATGMAGGCTCTCTAATTTTGGCTCAGTRGTAGTCAAACATGGTGAAACAAACTACAGAATAGCCGAAATTGCCAACATGCCATGTTTTTTAAGGAATATGACGTCATTCATTACGTGACTGSTCAGTGATTCAGTGCAAGTAGCATTCCAAGGATGCAGTTTCCTTTATAATCAATGGTTATACAAGTCAAGTACAACCTTAAATACGCTACTTTTGATATATCTGATTGATTTACCTTGTCATGACAGACAAATTAGTTGAACTAGTTTTTCCATTCATTGCTATTTAACAATTAGACCTCAAGGTCGAGTGGACTATGAGGCCGAGAGGTCTAATTGTTTTAGTATAAACATACTAATCGGTCAAATAATGAAAACAAATTGAAATATCCTTAAAATAATTTATTAATGAGATTGATTTTCCCACGAGTGGTCTATCACAAATTAGACCATTAGTAGAGTAGCCAATCACAGCGCAGTATGAGTGATAGACCATTAGTATGTTTATACTAATGCTGTATGTCCACGTCTACATCTACGGTTAGATGTATGGAGATACAATTCTCATATAAGGTCAGAGTTGCAATTCAGGTATTCTAGCTATATTAAAGCTTGAATACGATTGGCTATATTCAAGCAGCATTGATATGAATGGCATATTATCTTCATATAACAATAGCCTAAGGGAAGAATAGAAATCAGAAAACACCAAAATATATGCATGGTTGCTCACAGGCAAAAAGAGACGATGAGCACAGCCAACAACTTATCTCCCGGGAATTGTAAAATATTCAATATATTTATTAAATACTAACCATATCATATCCATACTCTTGYCTTTGCTCAGATTCCACATCTTCATATCTTTGTAGATTTGCAAAGTTACTCATGTCATCTTGAGACTCCAGCAAATAGGAATGGTTATCATACCTAGATCTCTCTTGGCTAATATAATGATCCCTGTTCTCCCAACGTCTCCCATCTTGCTCAGAGTAAGATATTGATCTACAATAAGAATGCATCTGAAGAAAAATAACGATATAACAATAAAATTAAATATAAATAGAATAAAATTGAAGAAAAAGCTACACAACTTGTAACAGGGTTTGCACTCTTTATTGTACRTTTCTGGCATTCACCCTTCTTCAGCAAACTGAATGTTATWTACCGGCTGGGAGGTCCGTATAGGAAAACACTGCCCGAGGTCTTGACACTGTATGGAACGAGCACAGCGAGGTCTGCACATAAAAGACCGAGGGCAGTGTTTTCCTATACGGACCAACCTATAGCGAGTTTGTGTTTTAAAACTTTTGACTGCTCTTTTTGAAAACGTTYCTGGAACACCGGATTTTAACCAATTTTGCACAAACTTTGCAGATGTATAAGTACCTCATGTCAAAAAMAGTGTCTCATTTTTTCGATATCTTGTTGTGTTTTGAAGTTATGTTATAAAAAATTTGTATAAAAATTACGTTTTTCAACTTTGAAAGTGGATATTTCCGCAACAAACGCGTTAATCCAAAAAATGAGAMACCTTTTTAGAGGTCAAACTGTGCTCTAAATGAAGGCAGAAATGGTTTATTAGCTCAAAGAAATCCGGTGTTCCAGGAACTTCTTTAAAATGACTGGTCAAAAATCATATAATATCAACTAAAAAAAAATTGATTCGTTTTTATCCAAAACAAATCACATAGTTACAATCTCCATTTATTCAGCKTTTAGAAAATGTATACTTTTACTGGTGTATCTTTAATAGTTAAGCATTATATGAGAAGTTAATTGACCATTGGTSGCGAAGGTCCCCTGATACCTTAAGTCATTAATCAGACCAGGGCTCAAAATAACAGCCAGTCAGAGGCCGGACACAATGACCACTGACTCAAATAAATTTTTGACTTGACATACCTCAGTTTTGGCCGTTCAAATATAATGGTAAAAAATGTAAATATAAAAATAGCAATACCTAAATTTAAAATTTTGACAAAAAAAATCATCATAGATTTGACCGGCCAAGATGACCGCCCTAAATAACGTTTGTCCGGACAAATGCTAATTTTAGCCAGTCATTGTCCGTTGATGACCGGCCGTTATTTTGAGCCCTGCAGACCAGACAAAGTTGTCGTGTTTTCCAAAATTTTCCAATTTTCCAATTTTCCAAATTTTCCAAATTATTATTATTATTATTATGGTTTYATAGGGGGTAATCTTTTTGTTGACATCGCTGCCAGTGAAAAATAATCTTTGTGCTAAAATAATCTGATGATTCAAAATAATGAAAACACTTGAAACAAATATAAGAGTTAAGGTATCTGGGGACAGTTGTTTTTAGTACCRACCATTACGAAAGAAACGCATCGAAATGCAGTTTATTTTGCTTTGATCTGGTCAATATTTTGTCAAATGAAGGATAAAAGACCAAAATATGTTATATATAGATTTCATGAAAATCGAGTATAATTTATTCAAGTTATGGGGAAATCCTGGAAAACACTTAAACTTGAATATTTCGCAAACCAGCCCTATTTTTTCTAAAACATTTCTGAACCTTGTTATTGGTGGTATTACAAATGTGTGTGGAAATTTTAGACGAATTATGTCGAGCGCAACTTAAAATATGATCTCGTATACACGGAGCAGGCTTTTTCAAAGAAAAAACTCAAGCTCAAAGTTAAAAATTGTTATGTCGACTTCTATTGCATGTAGATCATTCGATTTCTGCGCTAGTGAACTTTGTTCCTATTCCTACATTCATGTTTAGTTTGGGCGCTGTTCGTCAATTCGTTGCTGAGGCAGAGCCAGAATACTTAAAGTGTAGTTTTAGTACTAGTCTGCCCATCTGACGGATACAAATGTCGAACGTCGTATCTCAAAAACCTGTCCAAAGAATCTTTTTGAATTTCTTGAGCATGAAGCCGAATCCCCTCTTTATGTGTTCAGGGACCGCGGAGCAGGGGGGGCTGGGGGGCTATAGCCCCCCCAATAATATTTCCAACATTTTGAATTTTCTTAATATAAAGAAGCGAAGAGCCTCCTTATGAAGTCTTTGGGATTTTATTGATAATATTGCTGACCATGTCTGTGGTAAATATGTCTTGGATAACGCTGGAAATGGCATTTCCGAGAGTTAAGATTTCAGAAATTTACGACCCCCCCTAGTACCTCCTCGCCGCTAGCCCCCCCAAACAAGATCCCGCTCCGCGGTCCCTGGTTTTTCGTTTGGTCTTTTTCCAATTGAAATGTTTGGACGGACGTAGTAAAATTATTAAAAATGTAAATTTTGTGTTTGCTATTTCGCCAGATGATTAAAGTACGTTATGCCGAAAGCCTTTGTTGACATTCTTCATTGTTTTATAGAAGAATAGTGAGATTAAGCATTGACTTTTTGGAAAAAAATTGGTCAAATTCACCACCATATGGGCAAAATTGACAGTCAAATGCCCACTAGTAAAAGCAAATGAGTGGGCTGGTTTGCGAAATATTCAAGTTTAAGTGTTTTCCAGGATTTCCCCATAACTTGAATAAATTATACTCGATTTTCATGAAATCTAAGCTTATATATAACATATTTTGGTCTTTTATCCTTCATTTGACAAAATATTGRCCGGATCAAAGCAAAATAAACCTGTCCCCAGATACCTTAAACTGCGAAATATCATTCCTTAATCGATGTAAGTGTTATTGTGTTGTATATAAGCCTAAATTGGCTGAGTCATGTTTGGTAAAATCCGCATTATTTTGCAGTCAGTTACCAGATGAATAATTTAACATTTGGTTTCTCTAGGCCGATGTTTTTGTTTGGCTTTATTTTGTCAATGTAGGCTGTTTCCTGAGGCTGTCATTATATAAACTAGTCTAAATCCGCCATTGGACTTTTAAAAGCCGGCTGGACCACCAGGAAAGCATTAAAAACAATTAACTTAAACACTTCAAAAAGAAAGGAAGAAATATTAAAAATTACCGAAGAAGCTGCTGACCATTTAAAGTCAATGCAACCATTAGAAATTTCTAATAAATATAAAGACTTACTTAACTCTACCTTTTATGTCAGTGTCTACGACGCATATGTGAAAGAGAATAGCACAACGCGGCCAGCCCGCCAGATCATCCAGGCCAATGTCGAGTTGTTGTGTATAAAATATTGAACAGCGAATCCTCGTCAATATTAAGCTTATGTTCAATGTAAGCTTTATACTAAGCAGGCTATTAATAGGTGAAGTATTTTTTACTCTTCCATAAAACACAGCAACATAGCGCGTTGGAGCAGATTTATGAATTGACTTCACTTGCTGTAAATCTGAGTCGAAATGAATCACAGGTCATGTTTACACTTTTTCACACATAGTCACGTGCACGTGAGAGCGCAATCGCAGCCGTGTTCACATGYAGTTGTGTTGCTTTCACGGTAGTATGTCAACGTTTGCGTGGTTGGTTCGCGGTTCGAGCCCTTATGAAGCCGTAAATTTTTTCTACTTCATTTCTTGAGACTTTTCAAGACTTTCTCTTTTTTTTCTTTAAATATAAACATTTTTATGAATAAAGGTTGATTTTTAAAGCCTTTTTTTATATCTCCCCCCTCCTCGAAAATTAAAAGAGAAAGTCTTGAAAACTTTCAAGAAATGAAGAACAATAAATTTACGGCTTCATAAGGGCTCGAACGCAAACATCAGCACGACACCACCGTGAAAGACCGTGAAAGCAACACAACTGTAGAGCCTGGGCGCCCTGTGCCGTGTTTAGTTTCCATCACTTGTAACGCAAACGCATTACGCGTGACCAAAAATTAAACACGGCTAGAGACTGCCTTTCTACGTATGGAAGCGCTCGGATTTCGTAAATTCGCAAAGTTTTCGTGAAGCAACCGAACAATCTCATGAACATTCCGATGGCGGMCAATGAAATGTCCTTTTCAAGAACGAAAAAAGTCYTTCGAAGGCACTGCATCCGCGCTCCGCGATGCCGCAGTTCTCGCTATGTCTGCTGTGYAAATTATCCCCTTAGACTTTTGAAGAACGAAAAATATCTGGTAAGCACTGTCGCGGTGTCGGCGGTGCCGCATTCCCCGCTATGGCTGCTGGGTAAATTATCACTTAATAGACTTTGATCGAACAAGAAATATTTGGGAAGGTGCCGCAGTGCTCACCATGACGGAGTAGTGACGGCGGTGCATATGTGAGTGGATTTTATGATTTAGGTGTATTTATGAATCAGGTTATTTAAAATTCCCTTTCCGGCTATGTTTGTCCCAGAAATCATTGCAGGCACTACATGAGGGATCGACCGTGGTGGCAGCAGTGAATTGATAAAGTGACAGGGTATTTTAAAGCTTAGCCCAAATGATTTCAACAAATATTTCATCTTGGTTGGGGCGAAGACAGCGAGCGACGCAACGATCTCACGGTTTGTCTGATAGCCATACACAACAACATGGCTGTATTCCTGCCAGTGATGATAATTTGTTTAAATTCCGGCGAGTGTCCAACTCAGATGTGCGCAACGTTTAATGTCTATGGCTCMTAAAATAAGGCACCTGGCCACGATAGGGTTCCATTTTGTTTAAGATTGATCGATTGATTTTGTCAAATTATGTGATGCTTAAATTGTCAGAGTGAAAACAATATGACCGCGAATCACCGAAAATCACCGCGAATCAGGAAATTTGCGTGGGATCTGAAAATTTAGGGACTGGAAAAGAGGGCATGTCAAATTTTTTGGCCATACATAAAATGTCTATCATGGTAGAAATTAAATAAACCCGGGGGGTACTACCTTCCCAACTTGGGTGGGGATGTGCCGCACGACTCTCAAAACCCTTACCCTATCCCAGACCACTTTTKTTTGATTTTACATATCCTACCCCAGGTACAAATTCAGGTACACTATTTTAGCGCTAGTGGACTAGCAGAGGCAGAGGCGAGTTACAGGCAAAACTCCACCTACCACAGACACGGAGACTATATCCTATCCTAGACAAAAAACTACCCTATCCCAGACAATTAATGGAAACAACGTATCAATGGAAACGTCTCGCCGGCTCGACAATATAGTAAGCAAAGGAATAAAAGACAAGCCTCTTCAACCAGGCTAACAGCGATCGACCATCACTTTCATTATTGYTGCTGCTGCAAGAAGTATATTCATCACACTCATCACACTACATCACACTACATAATGAATGCAGCCTAAATTTGGTCGATTTTTTTTTTAATGGTCCATACATTTGGAACATTTGCTTATTTCGGTCCCAAGCTCTCTCTTGCCACGAAAGAGAGGCTGGAGCGTGCGCACTCCACTGTTATTTGAGTCGGATCGACCTAAGAGAAGTCGGACTTCGCATGGTTTTTACAAATCTAACGTAAAAGTAGAGCCTTTAAGATCACGAAAATCGAATAACAAAGCGAAGAAATAGTATGAAGGAAATTGGTGGCTCTCTAGAGAGGTCATATCTCACAAGGATATTCAAATCTACATTTAACTTTTAACTGCAGTCACGCCAACATAAAGAAGCGGGCTATATAAGTTAATTTGAGAAATATTTGCCAGATTTGAAATAGTGTTTTGCTAGCTATAAAAGTATCACTACTTTAGCTCATCTGTGTAAGTATTAAGTCATTTTTGGGGGCCAAACGATAAGCGCTAAAAAACGATTTAAAAAATCACAATAACATTTATAACTATCACTGTAAGCCGTTTATAGTCACTTCCCCAGAAGGTTTCATTTAAAACTTAAATATTACTGGTAAATAGTTGTGCAAAATCATTCCCTGAAGAAGTCTCCCTTAAAAGACGAAACGCGTAGGAAAATAAAAAAAAAAGTTCACAGCTATTCAAAGAGTTCTTTCTTCTTAGTGCTGTCCACTCTCCTCACTATCGATCACTTAGTCATCGTTAAAAAGAATTTGCTTCAGTATCCAGTTCCGAATGATTATTGTTTGCCTCAAATTGATCTCCACTGGAACCACTGCCATCGTTTTGAGGCGTACAAAAAGCCATACAAAAAGCAAGCAAGTTCATGATAATCAAAACAGCGTGACAAAACATCCTATATGCCACGAAAGATGTAGCTTTTGCAGTCGATTTATGCTATAGACGCCTTGTCAGGCGAGTGCACAATTTTAAGTAGAATACGCCGTAAAGAATGCCAAAAGTACGGTGCTTAAATTTAACGGATTTTTAAGAATTTTATATCAAAATGTTCACAAAAGTGCGGCGATTTCAAATTCACTTCTGTATTTTTGACAGGCTCTGTTTAATTTCAAAGAGAGCGAGTTTACTACCTTGACCCGGGGTTTGTCACGTAATTTCTCTTGTAAAAGGCCTCCAATTGTGTACATTCAACTCAAAAAGTACGGTAAATTTTTTCACTAAAATTTCACCAAAAACATTTTATAGGTTCCCTGAATAGTTGATTCAACTGTACCCGTATCTGTTTTTTGACTAGATAATTGTTATTTTGAGAAAATGCTCCAAAACCACGATTTTGAGACGAAAAATGCATGTAGCCATGTGGGGGGCGTGAGGCTAAAAATATGGCCTGACTATTTGTTAACACATTTTCTCCGATGCGAAGTCGAATCCTAGCGCAATGTCTAATAAAGTCATTTTCATCCGTCTGTGAAACAATTACTATACTAATCAGTGTTTAATAATAACTATTAGGGTGTGGCTACGGACTACCCGCAAAACTGCAAAAATGAAACTAAACCAAACCACAATAAAAAACCAAAACCGCAATTTGTGTTCTTGTCAAGTTTTTGCCTAGTTGATGGATACTTGAGTAGGTCTAGCAATTTTTCGGAAATAGGCGATAGTTTTTATTGTAATTAATAATTAACGTAACTAGTACAATAATTAGTATTTTTTGTATTTTT